CTTGTTCCTTGTTCAAGCTGCCTCCCACACAATTTTCACACGGCTGTTTCTTCTGCTTGGACTAATACACTTCAGCATTATTGCCTGGCTCACTTCAGGTCTCCACTTAAGTGTTTCCTTGGGGAAAGGGAGCTGTCTTTGAAGCTCTTTGTGTTCCTCTTCTTCACAGTAGTACTTAAATAGTTATTTGTGTAAGTGTGGGTTTGACATCTTCCTCCCTACAAGCTGTCAATGCCTGGGCACAGGATAGTTGTAACTCTATCTCGTGTTGCATTATTCCTACGTAGCTCAGTGCCTGCCAACAATTATTTATTAAATTAAAGGATGAATGAATGAAAATTACATATAAAGCATACATATAAATACATACACACACACTCAAAACCGCAAAATGGCATTGAAGTTAAGGATATAGTCCTAGATGCAAATAAGTGTGAATTTGAGCTAACACTGGCTTATCTATCTATCTATCTATCTATCTATTTATTTATTTATTTATTTATTTTACAGGCAGAGTGGACAGTGAGAGAGAGAGACAGAGAGAAAGGCCTTCCTTTTTGTCGTTGGTTCACCCTCCAATGGCCGCCGCGGCCGGCATGCTGCGGCCGGCGCACCGCGCTGATCCGAAGCCAGGAGCCAGGTACTTATCCTGGTCTCCCATGGGGTGCGGGGCCCAAGCACTTGGGCCATCCTCCACTGCACTCCCTGGCCACAGCAGAGAGCTGGCCTGGAAGAGGGGCAACCGGGACAGAATCCGGCTCCCCGGCCGGAACTAGAACCTGGTGTGCTGGCGCCGCAAGGCAGAGGATTAGCCTAGTGAGCCGCGGCGCTGGCTAGATATTTATTTGTTGTAGAGAACATGTTACCTTTGTCATTTACCCAAGTACATGGAAAGAGTCACTGACCATCATCAAGTGTCAGCCTGAAGAGAGATCATGGGTTGTAAGAACAGAGCCTGCATGGGACCATGTTCCTGTTGGAAGCTTTTATTGACAACTGAGATGTGGATGTTGGTGCAGTGTTCATTAGACTGGCAGTGAACCCAAAAGGATCACTCATGTGTAAGGTGACATAATCAATGTTATAAAGGATCTCATTCAACCTTTTAGAAAGGAGGATCAAATAACACTTACCCTAATAAAGTTTAGAGAGAATACTAGACTTAGGACCCCCAAATCTAATTAAACAAATACAGAAAAGGGGATCTCCAAGAGCAAAACCTGTGAAAAGCATAGAGATTTTAATTGATGAATCAATAGCATGACATTCCAGTTACAGACATTGATTTGATGTTAGGCTCCCTTAATAGGAGCAATCCGTCAAGAACTATTGAAGTCATAGACTTCTGTAGTTAGATCACCCTTGCCCTGCCACGTCCAGTTCTGGGAGGCCAAGTGGAGTGAGATTGACATTATAGTACTGTGGTATTCCAAACCATACAAGAAAAGAAACAGGCAAAGGACTGGCAATTCCTGACTAATGAAGAGTCTAATTTAGGATAATATAATGGAGCTGTCAAATAAAAGGCAAGGCCATTAGATTCTTAGTAGGCCCAAGGGTAGACCTGGGCCAACCGGAAATTCCAGGAAGTTTGAGGAGCTGTCCAGCAGGGGAGTGGGCTGTGCAGAGTTCTCCTTACTAAAATATATTACACTGAACCAAGAGATGGAGAAAAGAGCTTTGGGGGACTCTCAGTTTGTTTATGGAGGAATTGTCTGGGTGGTAAGAGTCCTTCCTTTGTGCAGGGGAAGAATCTTTTGTACTTTGGACCTCAGAATATTTGGAGTGTAAGGTAGATGTAAGTGTCCAGTTAATCATTTTTAAAGATCTCATGTATGATGTCTAGAATTCCCTAATCTATCCCAGTGCTCTGGCGCATAATTATATTTCTCCTCACTGTTGCCACACGGGCCAACTTTAGAAGCAACAGAGCAGAGGCTGAGAGAGCATCTACTGGGAAGAGAAATCGCGCACTAGGTAGAAACTGGACAGGTTGCTGCTAAGGTCCCTCATCACTGAGTTTCTGTGATTTTAGTAGAAAGAAGTGAGTGTTCTGTGATTAGGAGAATTTGGTAAACTACAGGGAAATGCCACAAAGTGTCTTCACCTTATAGGAAGATAAAAAAGAAAATTAAGATTATATTCTATAAAGCTGTTTCTCTTAGTTGTGACAACCACTAAACATGCACAGTGTTCCAGCCAAGGAGCACTGTATGCCCTTAGGCACCAAAGAGAAATTATGAATTGGTCAGAGTAAATTCTGCCCCCTAAAGGGAATAGCAGGAAGTGTCTCTCTTCTTGCTAATATCCCTTACTTTGTAATTCTGTTTGAAGCTACATTATTGAGCATTCTTTCTATGAAGAAACCAATATGCTGGGAAAGAGATATGTGCCTGGAAAGAGATACATGATTGATTAAAAATTATTATTCTTTGGTTCTCTTTCTCTTGCCTGGTTTTCACTAAAAATGTACTTTAAAGAAAACAAATGCATATATATCAGATTATCCATTAATTTTATATCAGAGTAGGTGAAAATGTTCTTATTAAAAATTTTGGCCAAAGTAGACAGAATTGTATCCACCACTGAAGGAGGCAGTGATCACAACATCAATGAATTGTTTATTCTCTGTTATGAAGTAATAAACTCTGATTAGAAGCATTTTCCAAAAGATAAGACTTTGCACCAGAATTTGATATTGCTTCATAAGCATATGACCATAGCAATGGGAAAACTGATTTGAATGTTAAAGCACAAGGATTTTCAAAACTGGATTTGGGCTTGACATTTACCAGCTACATGACTACGGGCAAATGATGTAACCTATCTATGTCTAACTTCCTTCATCTGTCAGATGAGGATAATACAAGTAGTACTTTGCATGATTCTTGTGGGAATCAAATCAGAAAATGTATAAGAGTCCCCGACACGGCAGAAAGCAAGCACTTGGTTAGTGGGAGCCACTGACAGAGCCACAACCATGCCACAGTCATTTTGTAGGATGTAGAACTGTGGCTGACTGGAGGAGCAACTGGGATAACACAACTTAAATGGCATCAGCTAGAGTGAGATTTCCATTAACTTCACATGTTCATGGGGAAGAAAATATGTTAATTCCAATCACTTCTCTGATAAATAGCTTAGTAATGTAGAGGAACGTAACATCAGTGTTTGAAAATTACTTGAACTAGGATAGCCTTGTTAATTGTCATTCAGATTAGGAATTATTATTGAAAATGAGTTAGATTTACCAAAGGCCTAAGCCGTCCTGGAAGTCACATGCTCACTTTTGTAAATAGCATTGTTTCTTTCAGGTACTGGGTACCATTTAGCACCAGTCTTGTTCTGGACTACATATATGACCACGATGAACCACCCAGTGGGTACTATTTAGTATCCCATCTACTTAGTTGTCAGTTGCCCCTGGTTTCCCTAGACAGTTACTGATGCCCAAAGATTTCAAGTGAGAGCACTTTGCCGTTTAGAATCAAACACAACAGTGTTTCTTTGACCACATAATCTGCATGTAGAATGGCTAGGTCAGAGGTATGAGTTACGTAAAGTGCCTAATCATGACCCTGATAGAATATCCATAGGGGTTAAGAGATGGAATTTGTTTCTCAGTTTAGTATTTTTGGCAGAAATCACTTGGCATTTGCCACTAGGAGAATAACAAGAAGCTCTGATTTCTGTTCTTAAGAAAATATATTTGGCTTCTTTCTTGCTGTTACCCCCTGGGCTTTTTTTGCATCAGAATATGAAGGAAGAGTCTCAGTACTTTGCATTTAGTTAATTTGGTAAGTTCATTGTACTGTCATCCCTGGGTTATTAAATAGCTCTAAACTAAATACTACATCATTAATTGAATATGTAACATGCATCTCATTTGAGCTGTGTTTTATGGCAAGTGGTAATTATTTAGTTAAAATTTACATAATACTTTGAAAGTATTTCAGAACAGCCCCTATGAGTAATAAATAGTCAAATACATAACTGACTCAGATGACCAGAGATAACTACAATTCTGGTTTTCTGTTGAGAGGTGTAGGGTCAAAAAGAAAGGAAAAACACATATATGTTTGGATCAGTGTCTGTATGTATGTTGGGCCAAACACATGTCTCAAGTGACAAGGCTGAAAGTCAAGAACTCGACTGGACCAAAATTCAGCCTGTACACTGAGCCAGTGTAAGTTTTTATGGAAATCTGGGACCTGTTCCCACTCCCTGTACTTTTATGCAAGACCGACGGGAGGAAGCTGTGAACACTGTGGGCTCCGAGAACATTCCTGCTCTGTGAGGATAGGCCTCCCTGAGCTCATGGGGCTTTCCACTGCTGTCCGCCAGTCCTGGCAGCCACAAAGTGTCCAGTGAGGAAACCTGACCCTTAAATGATCAAGGGCTTATTGTGACATATTCAGCTCTAAGCACAGATCACTCTTTCAAGGGTGACTCACATTTTGGGGTCAGGTGGAGTTGACAGGTGGGATGCATAAGGCGATCTGGCCCTTCCCTATTAAGGGTCCGAGGGCAACACCAGAGTGCATAGCTTGGGAGGGTCCTGGTCGGTCCTCCGGCTGTGTGGATGCAGCCTGGTCAAGAAGTGACAAGAAGGTGGGGGATCCCACTGGCTTCCAGAATGCTAGGAAAGGCGTCAAGCCATGAGGCATCAAATGGTGTGGATGTGAAGATAGCAGGAACTTGCTCCCTCTGAGAGGGTCTCACCTCTGGGTCACCTCACCTATCTACTCTGCACACTTCCTGGGTCAGCCCTATCCCTGGCTGTCTTCTCTTCCTCCGTCCTAGGGCCACCAAGCCAACTGCCCCCATTGCGTCTGGGAACTGGGGAGGTGTGGGGGTTTAGGCAAGCCTGAGGCGCTGAGGTCCCTGAGGCGGGAGAGGAGAAGGAGGAGAACCCGGGGCGCAGCCGTGGTGGGTGCGCCCTGCCAAGAAGGGCGGGGGACGGGGCGCGCACGCGGAGGAGGAGACGGAACGAAGAGGGAGGGCGTGTGAGCGAGTGAGACACAAGAAAAGGGAGCGCGCCCGCCGCCGCCGCCGCCCTCCTCAGGAGAGAGAGGCTGGAGTGAGGCTGTGCGAAGCGCCGCATTTCAATGAGGACGGGCCAAGGCGCATCCCTGCACTAGCGGCCACCGCAGCCCAGACGCCCCCGCTCCCGCAGCCGCTGCCGCCCAGCCCGCCCCCGCTGCCGCCCCCCGCCCCAGCCCCACAGCCCCGGCCGCGCCCAGCCCGGCGAGGACAGCACCAGAAGGCGGCCCCCAGCGCGGCCACAAAGACCCACGGCGGCAGCTCTCTGCGGACCGGTGCGTGGTTTGCCTTCGCTGGGAAAGGGCGCTGCGGGGAGGGTCGCCTGGGGCCCCCGCAGAGTCCGCTCCGCCCGCAGCCGCGGGGCGCGGAGGGCAGGTCGGGCACTCGGACTGGCCGTGGCCGCCACGCCCGCGGTTCCTCGAAAGGCGGCGGCTGTGCCCTGGCCAGCCTGGCCCGGGCCGGGGGTGTTGTGTGCGGGCGGCCCCAGGGCTGCTGGCACCTGCCTCTTTTGTCTGGTGCCACCGGGCTTTAAACCGGGAGTGAGGCGAGCGGGCCCGCAGGTTTCAAGTCGCGCTGTTAGCGGCGAGGGAGAGAGCCGGGGCGGAGGAGCTGGGAGAGGGGCTTGTCATTGTCAGAACTGGCTGCGGAGCGAGGACCAGGTCTGCGCCTGCAAGGAGTGGCCGGGCCAGGCCTCTTATTGTGTGTGCTTTTCCCGTGTGCCCGGGAGGGTGGTGTGCGCCTGGTGGTGGGGGCGTCTTGAGCGTGGTGGTGACTGCGTGTGGGTGTAGCAAGTGCTTTTGTCGGGTCTCAAGTTCCTACGGGGACAGCAAGGCTGCCTCATGTACAAATTAGTACCTGCAGTGCTAAAAGCATGCGGAGAGGAAATGGCATTTTCCTCCTAGCGGGAGTGCAGGCACAGCCCCGCATTGCCCCACAAAAGAGGCTGGTTTTGAAAGCCCAGGTTTGCGCGGAATCGATGCTGGTTTGGCAAGGAGATGCTTGTCGGTGATGGAGCGGATGAAAGCTTTCATTCAAACGGGTTCCCTCTCTGCCGCACCTGTGCATGTGTGCCCAGTTTACAATGCACACGCGTTCAGCTGCCACACGCAGGGTGTTCCCTGAATATGCTTTATAACTGCTCCTAAATATATCACCTTTCGGTGGGGAAGGAAACTAGGACAGCATTGTAAGTATGAGATGTCGCATGAATGCGGGTCAGAAGGGATTGTAAGAGAGGCCATATGTAGACAAATTATAAAAGATAAGCACACACCCAGTGATGGCTAGCTCCATGGTGGTGCATGCGCTCAGGAGGTATGCGTGTGCCTTTTATTCCACCCCTGTCCATCCACCTGAATGCTATGCCTGGGAAAGTCCAGGTCCAGCATCTTTTTAAACGTTATAGCATTAATGCCAAATCCTTTCTTGGTGTGTGTGCCCGTAAATTTCTGAAACAGGAACTCATGTGCTCATCTAGAGAAGCAGGAACACAGGAATGCCTCAAAATGGTGAGAAATCCCACAGAAAACAAACAAGGATGCTAGTTTCTTGGCAGGGCAATATTTATAGAAAAATCTCTGATAAGAGCCAGTCACCCTCACCCCAGAACTTCGCTTCCTGATGTTCATGTGGTCAAGAGACTGTGGTTACTCCCTTGGTGCCAATGCACATGTGTCCCCAGGTCCTTAGCCACCTATGGTCTCTGATCACAGGGCTGTGGGTTCTAGCAGGCCTCCCATGCAGGAAGTGTGAACCTGAGCATGCCTGGTGTCTTTTTTTCAGAAATTCATGGTCCCCCTGTGTGGCTAAGCCAGCTGAATTGCTGAGACAGCCAAGGCGAGGGAAAGAGCTCCTATTCTGGTGCTTCACATGCTGACGAGAGCAGCCCAGAGTGTAGTGGTAGCTGTAGCCTTGACAATGATTTTACTTTGAGGGTGATCCATCTTTGTTAACAACAGCATTGCCCATTCTGGGCAGGCTCAGTGATGGGAAGTGAAAGATGTGATTGCTGTCCTGGAAGATGATATCCCATGATCCTCTTTGAGAAAATTAGCAAATAAAATAAACTTATCACTACTGTAAATTGATCTCTCTCTTTTTGGTTTTCATTTGTTTTGGAGTTCTTGTTCCAAAAAGCCCCTTTCCTCTAGGGCATTCAAACAGTTGCCAAATTATTTGGCCTTGACCTTGGCACTCGTCTGATGACGCAACTGCACTACCCTTTGCTGTGGCTCTGCTTGTTTTCTTTTAGTTTATATCAATTTGGGAGGAAACTCTGACAGTTGGAAGAATGATCACTGGCTTTAAAAAAATAAAATCAAAAGCCAGTTTGGCCTTTAGAGTAAGTTTTGCAGAGTTTGGTGAGTTGGCCTAAGTACTGGCAGTATCTTCCCTGTCATCCCCAAGACACCCAGCCCTTTGGGAAGACCAGAGAACTCATTTTAAAAGCATATGAATAAAAAAAGTAGAAGTAGCTACCAATATCATGGGTGAAATGCTCATTGTCTTACAAAGTAATGCCCACAGGATTGGATATTAACTGCTAGTTGCTTTAATGTTACTCAACTTCAAAATCAATGAAACTAGTTCATAGCTATCTATATATGGTGTAAATTTCCTGGAAAAATGCAAATTTAAGCTATTATGAGTTATTAAAAGGCATGAAGTAGTTTTATATTTGGAAGAAAAGCTACACTGAATTCATCATAATCCAAGTTTAAATCATTGCCACCTGCACCTCCAGGCATCTCAGCCAGGTCAGCTTTAGAATCACAAGCTGTTGAGGATATTAAGAGGCCTGGTGGCAACTCATTCCTCTGAATATACACAAAGTCTTGATTGGTTATGGGGTCTGCCCAAGACTGCCAAGCTCCTTAGAAAGGAGCACTTTAAAAATTCTGCTTTTATGCCAGTAAGAGGCCAGACTCAGAGGAGCATAAGGCTAGAGAGCACCAAACCTGTAGTCAAATCCCAACTTCTTCAATGTAACTTTGGGAACCTGGATAAACCCCACACCCACTTCCAGTCTTCGTACTCATCCCTACATAGTTGGATTATTCTAAGGTTTAGAAGAGACTTTTTTTTTTAGCATATTACACAACTCATTGCTGAATAATAAGGAGTGTACTTCAAAAAGCCCATGGAAATGCATATATGAAAAATGATGCATGGATTTAAGAAAGGTATGCACAAAGATAAACATATTTTAATGTCTTTTTCCATAGACTTTTGGAAGGCCCTTCAGAATGTTAGGTACATCGTAGATACTGCATAGATACTGCCTTCTTCCTCTTTTTTCATTTTGGGAGCATGAAATCTCTAGGTTTGTTTTGAGCATGAATGTGGTGCCACTCTGAATGGATCAGCAGTCAGTTTACTGAGGGTCAAGGAAAGGCCAAGGAGACTGAGCAGTACTTGCGGTGACCTTTGGCTGACTTTCAGAAAGGTGTTGTTATCTGCATGGTGGGACATGAGAAGTACTTGTAAGGTTCTTGTCTCACATTTTTTCCCCATATATTCTATTTCAATGTGACTGGAATTTTGTTATTAAAATGTCTTTCCTTTGAACACTGAGGTTTTTGTCACCTTCTATAAAGTATGGTCCCTCTGCAAGTGGTAATACCATGAGCCTTTATCAACCAGTCCCTTAGCAAGGATGAATTGATCCCCCAGGTAGCTCATTGATAGCAAAGTCCCAAAGAAAGTAAAATGTGATTGGGGGGGGGGGCAGTCACAGATGTCCCTTTGAGAAGGTCAGGAGATGGAGATCAGGCCTCAGCAGACACCTCCTTTTTCCTATTAGTTGTGTCTGTGCTGGGGTCAGAAACAAAACAAAACAAAACAAAAAAAGACTTTATTAGTAAAAAGAAAAAATTAAGACATCATATGCCAGACACTACCCTAAATCCATTAACTTATTTAACAGTTAATACCTACTATGCGTTAGGTTGCATTCTCCTGCCTATTTTGTGTTTGAGGAAATTGAAGTTCAAAGATGTCCATCAAGTAGATTTCCCAGCGGCCTGTAGGGTCAAGTCTGGATCCACAGCTTTACCCTAGGTTTCTGCATTCAAACCTTCCGAAGAAGAAGTAACTGTGTTTAGCTGGTTGTTGATGTTGTTCTTCCTCTCCTATTTCACCTCCTTTCCCACCTCCTCTTCTGCCCTCCTCCCTTTGTCTCTTTTTTTTTCAGCCCCAATTATCTGAAGCACTAAATGTAAGTTAATGAGTTTTGGTGAATCTGCTTTTGAATATGTGAGCATGTTGGAAAACCTTTAAGTTGGGAGAACCTACAAATTGATTTAATTTGCTCTCCATCTGTCCATGGAGAACACAAACACTACTTCACACTCTTAGGATCTGACTGCTACGTGCTGCCTGCTCCCTGCTCCCCTGTTCCCTGGCCTCGCATGGCCACTTATCTTTAGCTGTACAAGGATATAAGTGCCTATGATCTACCCCTTAGCAGGATGAACACACTGCACAGCAGGGAGCTTTAGGAGTCCTGCACACCAGGGCTGGAGTTCCTGGTGCAAGCACTTCTGTCTTACTTGGCAAAATCTTTCACTGTCTCTGTTTCTTCACCTGTAAATAGGGATAATAATGGTTTTAAAAGTTGTTGTGGCTATTGGACATAATAGCTGTTCAAAGCCTGATAAGTTGTACATAGTCAATATCTAGGAGCTGTTTCTAAGAAAACAGTGCTTCTTAACAATAAGCTATTTACACTGGGGTCTACTCTTCTGTTTCTTGGTTGTCTTCTTTCTAACTCATATTAAAAGTACTTTGAAAAGTTTATGGTGGGGCGGGTGCTGTAGTGCAGCGTGTTAAAGCATCCCATGAGGGTGCTTGTTCGAGTCCCAGCTGCTCCACTTCCAATCCAGCTCCCTGCTAATGCTCTTGGGAAAGCAGTGGAAGATGGCCCAAGTGCTTGGGCCCCGGCACACATGTGAGAGACCTGGAAGAAGCTCCTGGCTCCTGGCTTTGGATCAGCTCAGCTGGGGCCATTGTGGCCATTTGGGGAGTGAGCCACAAGATAGAAGATCTCTCTCTCTCTCTACCTCTCTCTGTAACTCTTTCAAATAAATAAAATAAATCTTTAAAAAAATTTCAGGGAAAATGAAATTAAAATAGTCTTTGGTGTAAAAATACTGACATCTACACATAATTTTTTCACAATATGCATTTTCCATATATTATGAAAAAACCGTTTGCCCCAAAATAAATTGATATTTTTCATTACACTTGTCAATGAGTGTTTTGAAGTACCCTGGCCTAGTATCTGTTATAGCAGTAGTTCCACCAAGCTGCTCTCAAGAGAGCCTTTCAAATCATGACCTTCAAATAACACCAACCTTTGTGTCTGCGTTTGATTTCTGGGGCTCACAGGTGCCACGTTCAGCCCATCATGTCGTTTGGCAGAGACATGGAGCTGGAGCATTTCGACGAGCGGGACAAGGCGCAGAGGTACAGCCGCGGGTCCCGCGTGAACGGCCTGCCCAGCCCAACGCACAGCGCCCACTGCAGCTTCTACCGAACCCGCACACTGCAGACGCTCAGCTCGGAGAAGAAGGCCAAGAAAGTTCGCTTCTATCGAAATGGAGATCGCTACTTCAAAGGGATTGTGTATGCCATCTCCCCAGACCGGTTCCGATCTTTTGAGGCCCTGCTGGCTGACTTGACCCGAACTCTGTCGGATAACGTGAATTTGCCCCAGGGAGTGAGAACGATCTACACCATTGATGGGCTGAAGAAGGTTTCCAGCCTGGACCAACTGGTGGAAGGTGAGCACTTGAGAGAACCCCAGCATAGCCTGCAGCAGCCCCTTCCCCATTTCCAAATTGTTCTAGCCTTCTCTTACTTGACCTCAGCCTTTTGGCCAGGATCTATTAGAATTTTCTGTATTGTGGAGTAAAAACTACCAAACAGAAAATGAATGGCATTGGGTCAGATAGCTTAGAACAATATAATTCTTATAACATTTTGTCTTCTTTCTCACATGCATGCTACATTACTTTTGAAAGTCCATTTTTATATCTTCAATCTCATACTTCATTTCTGCATGCAAATTGAATTTTTGCTATCAAGATGTTCTTGAACTGAAAATAACTAATGGATCATGAAATGTTAGAGTTGAAAGGAACCTTGGATTGCTATCAAACCCATTAATTTTATCATTGGAGACTGAGGCCCAGAAAATTCCAATGACATGTGTATGGTTATGGAGTTAGTGGTGATACTAGACCAAGAATGAGGTTTTCTGACAGCTCTTCCACTGTGACCCTTCTTTTTAAATTTAAAGGATTATTTTTAAAGTCCAGTTTAGGTTAACAGTAATTGTCTGTTTTAGATATTCCATGTGGAAGTAGGACTGTTAAATCAACAGATAAAGCCTGGTATCTCGTGAGAGCAATAGAATCCACCTGCTCCGTGCTGCCCTTGCCCCAGAACCAGTCCTGTTTGAACAAGGCATCAAGCCTCTCGTTGCTTAGAAATCATAATCAAATTAAAATGACTTGGAGAGAAATAACTGTCATTAAAAGTATGCTAGGGTGTGGATGAAGATAGCAGATCTTCTTTGGGATTTCTGAGATTAAGGGCCTGGTGAAGGAGTGGATGGCACAAAGGAAAGTGGAAAAACAAGGTCAAGTTCAAGGAGCTTGATTTTTGCCCTGAGTTCATCTTTACTTTAGCAATATTTGCCCAGGTCCTGTTATCCAGCTGGGCCCTGGAGGATGCCACATAATTCCTGTCTTCTCTTGTGCAGGTAGCACTGACTATACACTAGCAGAACCCTCTTAACTTCCTTTGTAACTAGAAGTTGTATGTGATTCAAGGCTGAGGGCTTCTCCCCATCCCTTATCCCTTGGCAGGAATGCCAGATGGGTCACAGTAGGATTGGACTCCAGAGGGTGTGGAGGAGCCTGAGCTTGGTGTGTTTATTTTGTGGGAATTCACATCTCTTTTTGGTAACTTGTCATTCTGCCAAGATGCCTGCAGACTTGGCCTTTTTCCTTCTATTCAGAGGTTGGAACTTCCAGTAAATTAAAGGGGAAGAATGAACCTGACATCTTTCTGCATCAGCTTTGATTTTTGTGTCCTGTCCTTTGCCTGACCTTGGAAAATACAAGGTTAATTAAATGTTTGGAACTATATTCTAGGGGATCTAAAGATCAAACACAAAGTCAGGTGCATGACCAGGAACCAAGCCATGCCACTGAGGGCTGATAGGACTGTCCATAAAATCTGACAAGAGCTGAAAGCACAACCCAAAACTGCTGGGGAGCTAACATTTCACTCTGTTCTGGAGTCACTTGTGCAGAATCCAGGGGGCCTGCATACTTCAACCAGTTTCCCACCCTGTATTGATCTTTACTAAGAAGTGGCCACTGATACTCATGTGATTCCCTCCACCAAGCAGAGGGAATGGGAAGTTGCAGAAAACAGTACTCCTTGGAAATCTAAGGACTACCAAAATTGTGGCATGCTTTTCACCATTTTTCTCTTTGTGTATTTTCTTTCTTTCTTTTTTTTTTTTTTTACTATGAATTTTTGCTTGCTCTGAGAGATGATGTCCTTACTGAAGATAATGATAGCTCCCAGTCACAGAGCATGCGTGGACTGGTGTTCCTTGTGTACATGGATATGTTTGGTTCTCACAATGATCCTTATACTAAGATGAAGAGAGGCATAGTATCTTTAATAATCTGCTCAAAGACGAATAGCAAGAAGTATGCCATGTGCTATGAATTATACCTCTGTAAAAGGTGCTCTGCTGCTTATTTTAATGCACTGGGTTATTTTTCATATAGTAGAGTGGTGGACATTTTAGGGCAAAGTTAACTATAAACCTTATATCATTCCATTACAGGTTAGTGTATTTAAGTGAAATTTTATTTCGTTAGCTTCTTTTTGGAAACACTTATTTTTGATCTTGACTTAATTCCAGGAATGAATGATTTTGCTCCCAGAAACTTTTGCTATTTTCAGTTGCCCTAAATGCTTTCTTTCCCCCCTAATCAATGTGAAGTAGCTGCAGATTGAACAGTCTGATATTTAAGAATTACTTTTTGTGGAAAAAAATACCTTTTAGTACAATATGTGAGTTCATATATTGGTTGCATTTTTTTTGAATTTCCAGTTTAAACAGATTTTTTTTGCTAATTCATAACACTGACAATCATCATGCAGCTGCATTTAGTGTTTAAATAGCTGGAAATTCATTTAGATTTGCCTCTTTGCCAATTACATTTTTGCTTAGTCTGTTAAAATGCAAACCATAGCTTCATATTCATCATTAGGCTACATCTCTCACTTTACATACTAATTTTATGTAAACGTCAATGCATGTTATTAGCTTTTCATTTCTCCTTCCAATATGATGATGTTTGAGTTCCAAATTAAATCCTTTTAATGGGTGCAATGACAAGTGTATTTGATTTGTAATTTTTTTGAAGTTTGCCCTTTCTTACTTCATCTCAGACTAAAAATTCTGAATTATAGTGATGTTTCTTTATTTACAACAGTTTCATGGTCGCTTTCACTATTTTGTTATGTACTGATAATTATGCCTATGTGAAGTTCAAGTGTGTTAGTTGAGCTGACTCTAAGCCCAAACTATATAGTGAGTGGGTGTGTGTGCACAAGGGCACCTCAACAAGTTCATGGAAAAAAGGGAATTAAAAGATAATTTTATTTTGGTACAAAAAAGTTGAAATCTATGCATTCATTTTTTCATAATACATATTTCCCTTATCTTTTAGAAGACCCCTTGTATAAACAGTTCCAAAAAATTTGCAACAAAATAATTTTATCATTTAATTCAATTTTCCATGAACGTTTTGAAGATTCTTCATACAATTAATTGTGTCTATGTATATATGTGTGTATGTAGACATTTACAGTACACATTTAAGAGTATATCAAGGTGGTGTTATTAATTATTTGCTTTTGAAGTGCCCCTAATGTGTTTTAAGAAACCATGATGCTGAATATGGAAAGCTGAGCTGCAGGCCTATTTCTGCAAGCGATTCACCTTGAGACTTGGCCTCATTTACCCCCATTGTTGTACCATTTATATTCTGCTAGAAGTATATAAGTGTTGCTGAAGATAAATGAAGGTGTAGCACTTAAGCCCTTTGAACTCTTAGGAGGAAGATGTAATGTAAATCCTGAATATTGATTGATTGATCAATTCCTTGACTGATCTTGTGTGAATGTAGATGGGAGAGGGCTGGATCCTTCCCTTTAAGTATTAGCACTAAAACTATGCAAACGTGTCATTTTTGGGATGGAAATAAGTCGATTTGTTTATTGGATCCCCACAGTTAGAAACAAGCCCTTCTTCATTGGTTCTCATTCACATCTGACCCCTCATTAAGCCACCTTTGACGTGATCTGACTCCATAGTTTCAATGTAAGGACTTTTTCTGAGGTCCCCCTGAAGAATTCACTGCTCAGAAATAAACCCATAATTAGAGAATCTCTCTCTTTCAATGGCTTCTGGATCACCTCTCTCTTACGGCAGTTTTCCTGTTTCCTTGGAATAGGGTATACTATCTTTCTCCAATTCACAGGCATCCGCTATACTTCTCCCTGCTATATTGAATTGTAAAAAATTAATTTTTGAATAGCTACAAAACATGTTTTCCATAAAACTTCCTGGAGGCAACCAGTGCACTAGTTTTTTGAGTACCCTCTCAGAGTTATCACTGCATGTTAAGGATAAACATATAATTTGCCCAAAAGGTAGCTTAATGTGCACACAGTACTGCACTATGCTTTGGGCACTTAACAGTGGATGTCAGGGACTACCTCATATCAGTATGTCAGAAACTATTGTGTTCTTTTTCTGACTTAATAATACTCCTTTATACACATGTACCATAACTTATTTTACCAGTCTTTTATTGTTGTATCCAATCCTTTGTTATTACAAAAAATTTTGCAGCAAATATCCTCGGATATGTTTTCCATTCATATAGGAGAATATCTTTATTTTTAAATTTTTTACAGAAAACTTTTATTTAATAAATATAAATTTCAAAAGTACAACTTCTGGATTATAGTGGTTCTTCCCCCCATAAGTACCCTCCCAAACACAAACCATCCCATCTCCTACTCCCTCTCCCAACCTGTTCTTCATTAAGATTCATTTTTAATTATCTTTATATACAGAAGATCAACTCTATACTAAGTAAAGATTTCAACAGTTTGCACCCACATAGACACACAAAATATAAAGTACTGTTTGAAGACAAGTTTTATCGTTAAAGTAGAATACCTTTAGCATAAAATCCTAGAAGTCATATTTCTGGACACACAGATACAAGCATGAAACTTTAATAGCTACTGCAAAATTCATCTCCAGCTAGGTGGCTAGCATGCAGTCTGATAAATCAGTAATGTTTGAGAGTGGCTATTTCCCCACACTTTAAATAAGATGATGTCTTATCACACATTTTCATTTTCCAGTCTACTAAGAAAAGAAAAACATGTATCTTGTTATAGTTATAACTTTCATCCTTTTATACATTTAAAAGGCATTTGTGTTTCTTGTTCTACATATTGTCTCTCCATAGCTTTTGGCCACTGTTCTACAGGGTTGGGATCTTTTTATTGACTTTTAGGATTTTTTTCTTTTAAAAATATTAGCCATTTATGATAATAATTGAAAGTTACTGTCCTAGATTTCCTTTTATCTAATGACTTTGTATATTGTATATTTTATCATGCAGATTTACCAAAAAATTATATAGTCAATTATATCAGTCTTTTCAGTTAC